TATATTGTCTCCCTGCTTATTTAACTTATATGCAGAATACATCATGCCAAAGGTCCGCATAGTCAAAGCTATGGTTTTTCCAGTAGTGATGTATGGAATTGAGAGCTGGACCATAAAGAAGGCTGACCGCCGAAGAATTGATGCTTTTGGTGCTGGAGGAGACTCTTGAGAGTCCCCTGGACTGAAAGGAGATCAAACCTATCCATTCTGAAGGAAATCAAACCTGAGTGATTACTGGAGGGACAGATCCTGAAGCTGAGGCTTCTTTAGCCATCTCATGAGAAGAGAAATCTCCCTGGAAAAGCCCCTGATGTTGGGAAAGAGGAGAAGGAGACGACAGAGGACAATATGTTTGGACAGTTTCATCGAAGCTACCAACATGAATTTGACCGAACTCCGGGAGGGCCTGGTGTGCTCTGGTCCATGGGGTCACGAAGAGTCAGATACAACTTCACAACTACAGCAACAAATTTACAGGATTGCTACAAGTCTGAAATGACTTGATGGCACACAACAACAAGGACTCTTTGTTCCAAGAAAGATATTTATTGGTTCCATCCTTAGGAAGACTTCAAGCTAACTCCCTGTTCAGTGAGTCATGCCCTGAGTAGTAAGAGCCTGTCTTTTTATCTTTCCATCTTCTTTTCATTTTCACTCAGTGTCACATAAAATCTGACCTCCTTGAATAAATACACCTTTATCTTTGGTTATTACAATTCTGTACCTGAGAGACCTCTTCACTCTGTTTACTTACACTACTACCAGACTAATAATACTAAAAACTCAGAACTATTCCTTAAAGAAAGGGTTAGTTTAATAATCTTTGGACTTCCCATAATAACTGGTTCCCTTCTGTTTTTGGGACACTCTTTTCTGTTCTTACAAGGTACTTGTCTATTCCCAAAAAGTAAGATGGCAGGAATTTCTTTTCATTTATTTTATTAGAATGGGGTTCTCTTTGTGCCCCCACTTTTATTCAGAACTGTCCAATGTACTGTCAAGTATTTTTAACTTCACATGAATTCTGCATTAATTCCTAAGAAAAAGTTATTTGGCAATGTGGGGAAATGGGTCTCATCTCCTACCGAAGAAGAAAAAAATGCCTGCATCACAGAGCTGTCAGCAAGATGAGCAACACAAGATTTACAAAACCATTTTACATGCTGGTAAGTGATATATTAATCATTATACCTAAGTCAAAAATGGATTTTTTAAAAACAAAAAAAATTAAAATATATGCTGCAGTTCGTTTATGATTTTACAAATAATAGCAATAGCTAGTGGGTTTTACTTGGGGACCACATGACTAATCCTAAAATGAGAATATGCCCAAGGGCACAGACAAAGATATTTAAATGCACAGAGTTACAAGCATTTGTTCTCAAACACAAGCACAGGCAGCAGTCACAGCAGTGAAATGTCCCCTGTGATTACATGACTTTTAATCATGTTCCTGTCATGCTTTGAGGTCATTGTGGTATTTGTTCCAGGTTGTGAGTCCCAATGTTTTTTGGGTTATCGAATCATTTCCTTCCAATTCAACAAGTGCCTAGAGCTTCCTGTTGAGATTGTTTGACAGAAGTTAACTGATGCATCAACACAAATGCTGAGGGGGGGGGGAATGAAAAACATTTCTAACAACATGCATGGTGACAGTAGTTCAAAAACATTGTGATAGGGTTGTTCACACATGCAGCAACACAACATATTTTTGAAAGATCTGCAACAAAAAAGTAGAAGCCTCTGGCTGAGAAAGAAATGATCTGCAGTTTACCTGCTCACCAGGTAAATGATTCACTAATGGCTGTGCATCATGCGACCACAAATTTATGATATGAATTCAGTGGGGGATAGGAAGGCAACATTTGGCTCGTGTGACCACGGCCATACAGGCACACTTTACTTCACATGACTATACAAAGGACTACATATTCTTCCCTTTTGATAACTACCTGGGAACTGTGGAGTCGCTCAAAGGAGAAAGTTAATATATGGATGGGGTGAGAAATCTGCATTCCTCAATCTGATTTTCACAGACCCAGGACAAACATTCAGGTAGAAAAATAGAAGAGCAAAGAAGGAAACAAAAGAAGATACGGGAGAGGAAAAACCACCAGCAACACATGCTTCCTCCCAGATTACCCTGAGAGAATGTGGCCTTTACTAGAAAAAGGTTCTTAAGCCCTAATTTAAAAAGTGCAGAGGTGTCCTCTGAAGATGTCCATGGCCACAGAGACTGGCAAAACGTTAGGAAGAACAACCTTCAGAACACAGCCAAAGAGCCCGAAAAACCCACAACAACCATTAGATCCCAGCCATGAAAGCCTTCGCGAATACATTGAGAACTCTTTGTTTGCCATGTTGTCCTCGAGGGGAAATGTCTTTCAAACCAAGCAAACCAACAGGAAGTGGTAAACATCTGCCAGGGACTATAGCAAACATAATCCTATGCAACTCCAGAAGGAGAACATCCGTTTTTAACCATGTGTCTATGGTCCAACATGCATACAAAGCTACACAATCAGTCACAACAAATATGAGTGCTAGTCAAGGACAGAGGGAGAAAGAGCCATACCAAAGAACCACCATAATGCATAGATAGGCCTGGTTTGGAGCCAGGTCATTTTCTAAAAACAACACCCAGATTAATTTGGTTTATGGTTGAGCTACAAGGAGCAAAATACAAAACCTGAGCAGCGTTGATATTTTGTATGGCCTTGGAATTACTTTACTTGAAAAGAAATTTTCTGATGAAAGACAATATTTGCCTACAATATAGAAAAGTCTAGTGCCAAGATATGAGAAGCTGAGAGTTGCAGAAGGCTATATCAAATATCTGATTTGGAGTAGACCTCTAAAAATCAATAGGGTCAAAATTAATTATGACAAGCTTAAATTCTACTGATTTTAGTAAGAGTACTCTATACTGAGAGTAAGCATATACTGCATTAAGCATGCAGCCAACTCTTATTGTTGATGGATAATACTGCACCTCAAAGTAAATGACATCTGGGCATTGGCTATGACCGTTTGCTTTTTTTTTGGGTCAAGAAAAGCAAGTAATATGAATTTTCTTGTTGGCTGATAAAATCATTTGGAAAATGAAAGTTACAAGTCATCTTGATAGTTACAGCTATAAGATACTGAACTTTTGAATTTCATCATAATTCAAAAATAAAAAAGTTAATCTGGCAGCAGAAGCAAGTTTTGAAAGATGGAGGTCTTTGTTGTTTTTTCAGGGATAACTACTATGCATAGGAAGTATAACTTTCATGTGTAACTATATTTCTTGACACCATCCTAGCTGAGGGCTTCTTCAAAGCTGATATTTTTAGGTATCTAGGTAGATCTAAGTAATTATTGTTTTAGCATACCTCAAATGAAAAGCATCAAAAAGATCTTTAAGTGTGGCTTGTACACATATACTTTTCAAGAAGCTGCGATACAGGTGTTACTCTATCAAGTCTACATTAAATGGCAAATCCTTGTCTGAAAGGGCCTCATGAATTATAACCACAGGTGTTATTTTGGAATACAGATCTCTGAGACTATCACCAAAATTCTACCCTCTATTCATCTTGCATATTCTCTGGTCTCTTACTCTGCCCATATATCCAGGGGCCAAAACATGTCATGAAATGGTTTCCACTGGTACAAGTTACAGCACACAGAAATGTTCACACTCTGTACCAAATGAGGAGAGTATTCACAAAAGACTCAGTAAAAGTTTCTGAGGAGGGCCCAATTTGTTCTTGGAATGCTCTATCCATGAAACTTGCCACTGCCTCTCATGATATCCTCTTTCCACACTGCACAGCAGCTGTTATTAATGCAAATCATTGCAAATTATGTTAGTTTGTATCATTATCCTCCTTAAATGGTGACATGTCAAAAATGCTCCAAAGCAAATAATGAACAACTGAGTGAATAACAACAATGTGGCATTCTGAATTGCTTAGAGATACCTGACAAAAGTTTGCATATTTCATCCAGATAAACCCCAGGATGTACTGGAACTGGGGTGGAGCAAACGAATAAATACATGAGAGAAAAACTGAGACTCCTGTACACAGCCTTTTCATTGACTTCTTTAGCACACTAGATCCAATGTTTACAGCTATTTGGCTGTCATGGCTTCCTTTAAAGAATCCTGGCAAAGGCCACTTGAAAAGGATTTGAAAAACAGGTTAATACAATTTCTAAGCCCTCTCACATTACAAACGTGTCAAACACCATTTCCTAGAAAATAGGAATGGCTAGTTTTACATGAAGGCCACTTTCAAAATATAATAGAAAGTGATGCAAAAGAAATCCTCTCATTTCCCCCCAAACTGAAGTATCAGAAAGTCCTGCTGCCACAGTCACAGCTTTCTTTTACTTTTGGAGGGTCTAAGGGGAAAGGACCAACTGTTATTTCTTTGGACAGATCTGGGTTCTGTCCAGAGGGATTAACCCCCTTTACCCTTGTCAACCAATTAACTGTTCAAGGAAAGTAAGAAAAAAGCCAAGTGCTACCATCATTAGCAAACACCTTGTAACATAATATAAAAAGTAAAATACAGACGCATGTACCAAAGACTTTTGGGGAAGAAAAGATTCAACACATTTCTTATTTTCTGAACACCAGTATCAATTATTAGAATATCCAACCAATATTATGAATTCTCTTTAATAGAATTCTATGATAAACAGGTACAGTAGTTTTTTTCTGGGCTGAAATTTTTAAAGTATGATTTAGTGCTTTCTGGGTTTCAGTCTCAATAAAAAGACCAAACCTTGCTGTGTCTACATCATACCCATGCAGTGGATAGTGAGAGGGCACCTCCATTTCCTGTTAAACACTAGGAAAGAAGATTCTTACTAGAGATGGCTCTTCTGCCTCCTGAGGTGGAGGGGTGCCATTAGGCATTGGCAAAGAGCTAGCATCATTTTCGTTGGTCACATCGCCATCTGTCAATGCATCAAATGAAGGCAATCCATCTTCATCCACAGGGATGCTGTCCAACGTCTCTGTGAGAACTGCTAGCAAGTTTGCTTCATTCTCTTCATCTATCTTCTACACAAGCAGAAAAAAGTGAGAAAGATGAGTCAGAAAGAGATAATACAATTATACAGCCATGGAAAACATAATTTGGCTGAATCAATTTTTGTGCAACTGAAATGCAATGTTTCAACTAACTTATCCTGGTTGCTTCTAGGGGTAAAACCTGAATAAACATACTTACATATAAAACTCTCTCTCTCTCTCTCTCACACACACACACACACACACACACACAGAGCGCCATCAACTGAATTCTATTATCAGCTGACCTAACAAACATCACTAGAGTCACAAATTGCAATGTGAGAAGTATTGGGGGGAGGAAGCCCTATATGATTGTTTCTCTACAGATGCTTCCCCCCCACCACCAAAATTTGATAAGGAACGTACTGTAATACTTCGTATTTCAAAGTACAGCAATCAATGTTCTTATTGTTAATGACAATCCCCGTGGTTTCTTTTTTAAATAAATGCATTCTGGAGGTTGCCTTTGAAGTTGTCCTTTTCAGTCTGAGTGCTCAATACAACTACTCTCTGCATTTATCTAATTCAGGCTGCAATTATAAAAAGCAGATTAATTCTTAATCAGATGTGGTTGCAACGGTAATTTGTACTAGATATCTTATTTGGTACCAGGACTTGTTTGTGTCAAATCAAATATAATATCCTTGCATTCCTCAATGCAATATATTCCAATTATCATATATATACTTGGAAGGCAGAAAAATAAAAGCATATTATATTTTAGAGATTTGTCGCAGCAATTATTAATGATTTAGAGCTTTGAAAAACTCCCTGTGGAGTCCATGCAAAGACTTTGCTGGCAGTGAAATGCAATTCTGAGAAAGAAAAAGGCAACAGTTGTAATACTCTCTGCAGATGTCATATTTAAGTAGTTTAATGCCACCCAGGAATGCACAAGGTGTGGTGCATAAAACACAGAGCAAGTCACAAAATAAAGGATTTTCTGAACAAGAGATTACTGGGGACTGATCTTAATGGAATTCAGTCCTGTTCAATTAATATACCCTTCAACAAAAGAACAGTTAAGGAAACAAGCACATACACTCTGCAAATTATGATCATTTTGTTATTTTAAGGTGAAAAAATTGCATTGTGCATTGGTCTAATTATATGCCAACTTCGCTCCTTAGCATTTTTATATCACTATGCTTTCTACCAATAAATAACAAACATAGGAACAAGACTTGTGAGGGCATCATACCATTCAATAAATAAGCACCCAACAAAGCTGTACCTTCCTGTTCTTCTTGCCCTCTCTTCTTGTACACCTTTCTTTGCCTGACAGGCAAACACAGATTGTACAAGAAAATCAGGGGAAAAAAATCAGTAAACAGTTTGACTAAGAACAAAAAATTAACAATCCCTCCCCCCCATTCCCAAATCTGCTTAAGGACTTTAAATGTGACTGACTGTGTATCTGTGCCTGCACAGGTGTATTACATCTAAAATGCACATGTGAGGCAAGGAAATAAGGGGTTAGTGATAGCTGTTTTGCTTTTACAGCAGTCTGTGGTTCTGTTCTAGCCTTCTCCAATGCATCACCTTGAAAACATGGTGGATTACTCCTCCCATAATCTTCAGTCAACATGCCTACCATACTAGCTGCAGATGTCAGGAGTCGTGGTCCTACACATCTGCAAGATCCACTGTTGGAGACAGTTGCTCAGCACACTTTCCATTAAGTATAAATAGGGCTTATACTGTACTCAAATTGTTGAACTAAAATCTCCTTTACCTGAAATGAGATACTAATGTAGCCTTCATGGTTGCAACTTCAGTTGACCTCAACCTCCAGCTGAGGTCAACAGAGAAGTCTGCCCAGTGCTGAACCTCTAATAGAGACTTTTGTACATGATGGGAACATGAAACTGAACCTCTTTGATATTCAAGGTGCCACCAGAACTTTGTCAAAAGTGGCAAAGTGGAAATATGAAACAAAGGTAGACGTTTCACTCAGACTGAAAATCTGAAGATTTTAAAGGGAGCCCAGAAGAGCTTTCAGGACTGCTGAAAAATTTTAGTGAGTAATTTTTACATGTCATTCATGAGACTATTATCAGATTTCATTGACTGTGAAAAGACTTCATTGCAGTGCCCAAATCCTTATCAAATTTCACTGCTGATGGCCCAAATCCTTTCCAGTGAGTTACACTGGTGTGAAGGAAAAGATATAACCGGCAGCAGCAGATTGGTGCTAATTAAAGAGCCCATGCCTTAATTCCTCATTGTTTAAATCTCTGGAACAGAAGCAGGGACTCTTTAATTAGCAGCAATTTAATTCACGCAAGAATGCAACTTGAACAAGAAGATTTTCAGCAATGAGACAGTCACTTTCAGAAAATATGAAAGGGATTTGGGCATTCTGCCTCTTTCTGAAACATCCAAGGAGTTTCAAAACATACAGAAAGAATTCTAAGAGCAGAGAAACTTCTTGAGAAGATTCTTCACATTCTCATCCTATTAGAGAAACCACGTGGATTGAAGTATTTACAAAGCATGTAAGTATGACTAATTCTGTGTTGGGTTGTAGCCAATATATAAATCTCCCCCACAAAAGATAATAGTATCTTTCAGAGCAGACTTTCTCAATCACAGAGTATGTGACATGCTATTTTGGGCTCATGGATGTTTCAGTGCAACCTCTCTGGAGGGCAAAAGGTTTGATAACACAGCTTTGGACTGTCTCTGCTATGCAAATTTGCCCACCATCTAAGGCCAGCTGTTGTATCCCTGTTAAGTATGCCAGTGCCTTCTGAGAGCGTTTCCTTTGTGGTGGTGCCCTACACATGGAATTCCTGCACATTATCTCTTCAGTTTGTGATCTGCAAGCAAGGGAAGAATACTTTCATTTGGACAATTGTTTTGGTTCTGCTGTTACTTCGTTTCACGGACTTCTAGGTTGACTTGTCACACCTTGCTTTTTGAGCTGTCCTGAATCTGATAATCAAGTTTTAAAGACAGATTACTGTTGCATTTAAATCTAGACCTATACTTTATAAGCCCCTTGAAGCAATTCTCTTAGGATGGTAAGAAAGGAATGCAACATTTTGCTGGTTTGCATTTATAAAGAAAGGAAAAAAGATGAAAAAAAAATTCAGAACCAGAACCTAAGAAAAATTTGAACTTCTTTCCCAGTCTGCTACCACCATTTCTATAACCAGAATCATATGCCTGAAATGGAACATTTCTGTACGTGTCCTGATTTAACCCACTCCTTAGCAAACCTTCCCCCAGAACAGTTAAACTAAATTCCTCTTCCTAAGTCAGCATTCTTTCTTTGATAATATGGACACTTGCATTTACTCATCCAATGCTTGTTGTTTGCGCTATAAAACAGACACTAAAGCACACTGACATTCAGTCAGAATGTGGAGTGGACACTGGTCTTCCTCATCATAACAATTTCAATTACTTTTTTGTGCAAGTTTCAAACCGTCAGACACCTCTCAGAGGAAAGCAAAGGATGAGACAACAAGAACTCTGTTAAAACAATTAACGTCACTTTCCATTATTGCACCAGTCCCAATTTACAGAGCAAATAAATCAAAGTCGCCACAGATGATGGCATACTACCAACCAACATGTGTCTGTTCACAAATGGCATGGGAATGTATGAAGCAATGAAACAGCTTTGGGTGGTAGATGACCTTTGTGAACCTTAAGCATGTGCTTGTTCCTAAATACTGTTTTATACATAATCATTTTTATTAATTAAAACAGCAAGAGAAGATCTGAGGAAATGAGAAGAATGCTGTTAAGCTGTCCTTGTTTTGGAGAATGGGCAAGGAAGCTGTTTCAACACAGGTTTTGCCATTTTCAACTCAAAGCTCTGACTGGTAGTAACTAAGCCTTAATAGATATAGTTTAGCATTGTAGAGTGGTAAAGCTGCACAAAAGCTGAGAAACCAAGAAAAGAAAAGAGAGCATGGCCTTCCAGGGACACCAAAAGAGTCAGGATGGGCCCCCAGGAGGGTGGAATTTGGTCTCAAGGTTTGAAATTCCATCCCACATTTTACAATACTGTACTATAAAATAATTCTCCAATCCAAAATTAAAAACCAATAAAGATCACTCCTACATTAAGTCAAACTAACCCAAGTACTTAAGACATCCGTGTATAAGACATCCCCATGTCTACAACCCCTCCCCACTTTTCTAACCCAAAATTTCTTTCTTTGCAAGGAAGTGGAGGGGGAAGGCAAGGATCAAAGTGGCTTGATGATTCCTGCTTTCCCCCTCCACTTTCTTGCGATGAAAGTGCTTTCCCCCTCCACTTTCTTCACCTAAAGTGGAGGGGGAAGCAGGAATCAAAGCACTTTGATGATTACTGCTTTCCCCCTCCGCTTTATTGTGAGGAAAGTGCTTTCCCCCTCCACTTTCTTTACAAAAAGTAGAGGGGGAAAGCAGGAACCAAAGCACTTTGATGCCTGCCTTCCCCTCCACTTTCTTGCAAGGAAGGAAAGTGGAGGGAGAAAGCAGGGATCAAAGCGCTTTGATCCATCCTCCCTTACTTCCATGTATAAGATGACCCTCAATTTTTAATCTAAATATTTTAGATCAAAGTATCATCTTATATATGAAAAATATGGTACAACTTTATACAGACAAAATTTTACAGGGACAATTTCCCTTGGGAAACAGAAGACTGACAACTTTTGATACTGGTTTATTTAAAACTTTGGAGGGAGGGTAGGAAGATACCTACACAGTTCATCATCATTATCATCCTAGGCAGTAACCATGTCACCAACATATACATCTTTACAAAGTGCAAGTGAACAAGGCCCTGCCCTGAGGAACACACAGTCTAAAATTCAGTACAAGAGGAAAGGGAGAGGTTGAATATTTAGCTGGTGTATGTGAGGGTTATTTATTATACAGAAACTGAAGATTAAAGGTGTTAGCCAAAGTATGAAATGTTGTCGAGAAGGGATTTGAAAGAAGCAAGTGAGAGAGAAGTAGGATGAGGGAGGTCAGCCTGATACCTT